GGAGCCCGATGCGGGACTCGATCCCAGGACCCTGGGATCATGACCTGAGCCGAAGGCAGACGCTTAACCATCTGAGCCACCCAGGCGCCCTACATTCGAACTCTTAAGACAGTCTCAGGCAAGTCATGAACTTATCTGGGCCTATCTCCGTCATCCAAAAACAATGCCTCACTTTCTTACGAGGATCCAGACTGTTTGAAGGGGCTCTGGCAACTCATTCAGATAAGGCTCTGGAAGGGGCTGATAGAGAAAAGGGGGCGGGAAGGTGAGCTTGGCCCAGGGGAGGGGCGTGGCCAGAGAGGAAGGTAGGCGAGCCAAGGTGGGAGATGGCCAGAGGTGGGCCTGGCTGAGGACCCCAGCCTTTGGGAGAAGAGATGGGAGGAGGCCTGACCAGATGGGATGGAAGGTGGCCCGGTAGGGGAAAGACAGAGTTCTCACCCTGGCTTCCGCCCTCACAGGCTCCATGGAGGCCCTTCATGAGGTTCTGCAGCTACCAGATGCCCTGCGTTCCTGCCCGGCCCTGCGGAGGGCCCTCGCTGTGGACTCGGCCTTTCGTGAAGGCAACACCGCCCGCCTGTTCCGCCTGCTCCGGATCCTGCCCTACCTGCAAAGCTGCGCAGTCCGGTGCCACGTGGGCCGTGCCCGCCGGGGAGCCCTGGCCCGCCTCGCTCGGGCCCTGAGCACCCCCAAAGGCCAGACCTTGCCTCTGGGCTTCGTGGTCCACCTGCTGGCCCTGGATGGGCCCGAAGAGGCGCGGGACCTCTGCCAGGCCCATGGACTGCCCTTGGATGGACAGGAAAGAGTTGTGTTTCTCAGGGGTCGCTACACTGAGGAAGGGCTGCCACCTGCGGGGACCTGCAAAGTGTTGGTGGGGAGCAAACTTGCAGGGCGCACCCTGGAGGAGGTGGTCATGGCTGAGGAGGAAGATGAGGGTGTGGACAGACCCATGTCCCCGGCATGAGGAGAAGGCGTGCACTCTCCCAGAGCCCAGGACTGGATCTAAGCACTCAGGTTTCTTTTTTCGTAATTCCTACACAATAAAAAGTTTTGTAGGGATAATAACTATGCTTGGTTTATTTGGGGGAGAGCAGGGAGGAGTTGAGACACGATAGGGGTGTACGGGGAGAAGAACCCAGACTATCCATCCTGGGCCTCAGTTTCCCTGCTGGTCCCTGAGGGGTAGCTCTCGTTGGCATTATGCATCCCATCCTTACCCACCCACACCAAGAGCACCACTCCCCACCATTCCTGTCTCCTGTTCTTCACCCTTTGCCAACCAAGAGCCAGAATGAGGAAGGCTTCCCTCCCCTCAGGTGTCCACAACTGGTGGGACCCTAAGCTGTTGTCTCAGAAGCTTAATAGGGTCCCATGATTGTGCCTCAGGTTGGCATCAAGGGAGACTGGGACACACCCAAGAAAAATTGGAGTGGGATAGGTTGAAGGACGGTGGGGAGCTGGGGTCAGAGGTCAGCCACAGGCCTTAGGGTGGCTGCTGCGCCCTCCAGGGCCACCACCAAGATGCTGAGCTGCCTCTGCACTTCAGCCCAGGCTGTGGATCCAAGGCCTGTGTTCATGGCCCTGGAGCAGGCATTGGCCAGGCCGGGGAATGTGGCTACGGAGCCAGTGCGGGGTGCCCAGAGCACGTGGCTGACGGGAGATACAGGGGAGAAGCAAAGTCACTCGGGGACCCGGAAAGAGAGGAGCTTCAGCCTGAATGGGCTCATCTGTATATAGCAAGGCACAAAAGCACCTCCCCACTGCCTTCGAAAGCTGGGACCCTCAGAGCAGTGGTGGTGAGAGACGCAGCTTACAGCCCCAGGGTGACGTGGACTGATTTGCCTCCCATCCTCTGAACCTGATTCCCCACCTGTTTCAAGGGGCTGGGTTGTGTTCTAAAGGCCAGCAAAACTCTTAGATTCTCCCTCAGATGGGTGCCCATTGCCCAGCCTCACCCTGCACTTCCCCAGGCCCACCTGTAGTAGCGTTCTTCTGGAAAGGCTCGCGGGTTTAGGAAGGTCCGTTCCAAGAGCATCAGCTGGTCGTTGAGCATCCGGACCTGCAGGGGGCTGGAAGTGGCAGGACCTTTGTCACCCTGGGACCAGCAGCCCAGCGGCCAGCCTGCATTCTGCCCTGGATGCTGCCCTCCCAGACACCCTGCTTGCTGCCCTTGCTCACTCAGGGGTGCCCTTCTGCAGCGCTGATATGTGTTGGTCCAAGGCCGCAGCTGCCCCCTCAAACTTCTCCACTGCAGTCACCAGAGGCCCTGTGGGGAACAGCCAGCATCTTAGCCCTGGAGGTGCAGGGCGCCCCATACCTCTCGTGTCAAGGGGGCTCCATACCCAGGCTGATGCTGTGCTGCTCCAACAGGGCCCCCAGGTTCTGCTGGGCAGCCTGCAGAAAACTTCGGAGGGTCTCTCCATAGTCACTGACATTCAGCGGAAGAAAGAGGCTGTCACTGAGCCTAAGAAGCACGCTCCCTGCTGTCCGGGCCACAGCCTGGTGGCTGCCGAAGCCTGCAGGGAGGGTGACCAGGCCAGGGCTCAGTCTTCAGCCCATCCTCCCCCAGCCTCAGGATTCCCCTTGCCCCCCTCCTCACCAGGGTCCACAAATTTGTCCACGTAACCAAAGGTGTCGAAGGCCGTGTGGTAGGTGGGGTAGATCCTGGCTGAGGTCTTGCTCTAGGGGAACAAGGCCAAGGTGACAGGCTTGGGATGAGAAGTGAGGGAGAGGTGTACCAACAGTGAGCTACAACATAGGGACATGACTGAAATCATCGCTACAGCCATGAGGTAGGTTCTAGAATTCCTACTTTACAGAGGAGGAGACTGAGGCTCAGAAAGACTGTCGCCTGCCTGACCTCACAGCTGATAGTGGCAGAGCTGGGTCAGCTGCCAGTTTCCCATTTCACATGAAGAAGAGCCTGAGGCTGTGGAGTCAGATGAGAGGATTCAAATCCTAGCTCCGCCACCCAGGAGCAGTATGGCCATGAGGGGGAGAAAGGGCTTTGTGGAGCATCGAGCAGGGAGACAAAGGCTGGGTCCTCCACATCCCTTACCTCATTTCACTCTGCACACCAACGCTATGAATCCATCCCTGTTTCATACTGTTATTTAATCTATTCTGTTCTCATTTTTTAAGATCTCTGGAATCAGAATGTCTCTTTTATTTTAAGATTTTTTTTTTTTTAAAGTAATCTCTACATCCAACGTGTGGCTTGAACTCATGACCCCAAGATCAAGAGTTGCATGCTCCATGGCTTGAGCCAGCCAGGCGCCCCAGGATGCTTTTTAAGTCAATGTCATCCTACAACTAACTGGCAGTATGTCGCCCCCCTCCCATAGTGCATATCACAATGTTGCATCTTAAAATCAGTAGTATCTTTTTTTTTTAAGATTTTATTTATTTATTTGAGAGAGAGAATGAAAGAGAGAGAGCACGAGAGGGGGGAGGGTCAGAGGGAGAAGCAGACTCCCCGCCGAGCAGGGAGCCCGATGCGGGACTCGATCCCGGGACTCCAGGATCATGACCTGAGCCGAAGGCAGTCGCTTAACCAACTGAGCCACCCAGGCGCCCAAAATCAGTAGTATCTTAAATTTGATAAAATATAGGTGAGCATAAACAGATGCTCAGAGAGGTTAAGAAACTTGGTGGAGGGCGCCTGGGTGGCTCAGATGGTTGGGCGTCTGCCTTCGGCTTGGGTCATGATCCCAGGGTCCTGGGATCGAGTCCCACATCGGGCTCCCTGCTCCTTGGGAGCCTGCTTCTCCCTCTGCCTCTCTCTCTCTCTCTCTGTCTCTCATGAATAAATAAATTTAAAAAAATCTAAAAAAAAAGAAACTTGGTGGAGGGAGCACAGCTACTGAGTGGTGAAGCCAGACTCAGTCTGCACTAGAGAGGCTCGAAGAGAGGAAGGGGATGGGGGAGCAACGTACTGAGCTGGGGGACAGAGGGGTACCACTCACCCGGTCATAGGTGTAGGCGATGTCCATGGAGGAGATGCCCAAGAAGTGAACGAACGGTGCATAGTCGCTGCCGGCACCCAGAGAGCCCAGACTGCGAAAACAAAGATGGTCGGGCTGGAGGGCGCTGGGCCAGCCCGCCCTCCCCGGTCCCCCGTCCTGGCCCTCGGCTCACCTGGGGACCAGGCCGTAGGCTGGGCTGCTACGGTTGGAATACCGGATCCAGTTGTCGTAGATGCTGAGGCCAACAGGGCTTGGTGCGGGGATCTGACCGGAAGAGGAATCTAGTCTGGGGCTGGCCCCTCCCCAGGCCCACCGGAGTCTCCATCCTAAGCACGGGCCTGCGGGTCCTACAAGGCCTGCCCCCCCGCCCCGGCCTCAGTCCTACCGCCAAGCCCCTGCAACAAGGACCAGCTCCAGCCCCGCCCCCCCCGCCCCGCCCCCTTTCACCTGTTTGGTGGCAGCGAAGATGACGCTCTGGACCGGGGGCGTCCCCTGCGCCCTCAAAGTGGCATTGGCTGTGGGAAGACCAGAGAAAGTATTCGGGCCGCCGCCCCTTCGTTTCTCCTCCCCCTAGTCAGCCCAGCCGCCCCCCGCCCCCGTACCAAACACCGAGATGTCCACGTTGATGTAGGCCACGGTGCGCTCCTGCAGCTTGCTGAAGAATTCCTGCGGTAGGGGGGCCGAGGTGAGCCCGGCCAGGCCCCGCCTCGGGAACCCCTCCACCACCCGCTTCTCAGGGCTCACTCACCTCGGTGAATTCTGTGGAGCCAATGAGCCCAAACTCCTCTGCCCCCCAGCTTGCAAACACTATTGATCTGCGGGGACGCCAGGTGCCTGGGGAGGGGGATAAAGGGCTGGAGGAGGACACGTTCCCCGGATCTCGGGGTGGCTTGGGGGAGATGCTAGGGAGGTGGAGAGCAGGAAGGGCTGGTCCGGGTGGGGCAGCGAGTGACAGGAGGTAGGTCCCGCTGCCTCTCCAGCCCAGCCTTCTCTGAGGCGCAGTCCTCCTTTTCCCAGCCTCCGCCTGTGCTGGGACCCCTACCCCAACATTGAACTCTATACCAATCTCAGGTGGTCCCTTCTGCCAGAATGGCCTGCCTCCCCCTTCCTTAGAGGTATGCTTTGAGTAGACCACTCGACCCTCCATCCCCAATTGTCTCCTTCGCGCATCCCATGCCAAACTCTCCGGCAACTTTCTCCACTCGGTGATGATACAGTGAAGTCCTCTTAGGGCGTTATCCATATTGAGTCAATCCTCAAAACAACGCTTTGAGGGATAAGAGCCTTATTGTCTCCATTTCACAGATGAAACTGAGCTGCACAAAAGTTAAATGACTTGCCCAGGGTTACACAGCTGGTAGGCATAGAGCCAGGGTTCAAGTCCAGGGTCTGGCTCCAGAGTCCAGGGGCTTAAGGAATTGGTCACACCACCTCCCACAGACTCTGGCAGCCTACAGCACCACATGTTCCTGGTTGTGCTCCCCTCTTGAGCTCCAACTCAGTACCCTTTGATCATTTCTCAGATTTTTGTTTTAATTTTATCTTCTTAAGTAGGCTCCATGCCCAGCGTGGAGCCCAATGTGGAGCCCAACTTGGGGCTTGAACTCAGGACCCTGAGATCAAGACTTGAGCTGAGATCAAGAGTCCGACGCTTAACTGACTGAGCCACCCACGTGCCCCCTCAACTTTTGTTTTAAATGAAAATTGTTGGGGTGCCTGGGTGGCTCAGTCGTTAAGCATCTGCCTTCGGCTCAGGTCATGATCTCAGGGTCCTGGGATCGAGCCCCGCATCGGGCTCCCTGCTCCGTGGGAAGCCTGCTTCTCCGTCTCCCACTCCCCCTGCTTGTGTTCCCTCTCTCGCTGTGTCTCTCTGTCAAATAAATAAATAAAATCTTTTTTTTTCTTTTTTTACTTTTTTAAATTTTTTTTTAAAAGATTTTATTTATTTATTTGAGACAGAGAGAATGAGAGACAGAGAGCATGAGAGGGAGGAGGGTCAGAGGGAGAAGCAGACTCCCTGCCGAGCAGGGAGCCCGATGCGGGACTCGATTCCAGGACTCCAGGATCATGACCTGAGCCGAAGGCAGTCGCTTAACCAAC